ATAACGGTCGATATTTTATATTTGTATTATAATGTAGGTAGGTAGGTATATTAGTATTCAACTTTTGAAAACGCATTCCATTCACCGCCGTGTTATATACTCGGGCGCATTTCACATCAAACTTGTTCATAATAAAGTAAACCTCATTATGTTCGATACTAAATTAATCGTCATAATATAATTATATCAAAACAAGTTATTATTCAACGGTCTTAAAATAGTTTAATGATAAAAATATTATATTATATTATTTTGTGCAAACGGTTTGATATTGATATAGAAGTAACGACGGAGACACGTAATACATAAGTTTTTCCACCCCCTTATAGAGCCAATATCATAATAATGATGATAATAATAATAATGGCGCTGTGGAAGAAAACATGTATAGGTAGTAGGGGGGACGTCTTGTCTCGACAGTCTGCTCGTCTTGACACGTCTGTTGCTGTTAACTGAGTGCAGTGCACATTATCTCGTCTCTCACGCCACATATATCTTATACTTGCACTCCTATTGGGACACCTGCAGCTTCTATCGAAAAACATTATACATATTTCGTCGTCTTCGAGCACGTCACGCGTTTATAATATGGCCACGGCATTCGTAAGTACTACTTTATTAATATATATTTTTGTCTCCAATATTATTATTATTTTAACAAACGTAATAATTATTTGGATAAAAAAAACTAATGCTTAATATAGATCATAGGTGCATTGGACAAAAACTTTTCATATAGGAAAGCTGTATAATTCGTTATAAGTTTGTTGACATGAAAAAAATATATTTACAGCTTCGAATTACAAAAAATACATTTTAGCACAATTATATATCGTCTAATCAAATAACAACCACCCTTTTTATTGTAAATTGTTAAGGAGATGATTTTTTCAGATCACGCATATAAATCACCGATAGGAGGATATATCCTCAGTGGGGAGTTGGGGAATTTTATTGTATTTAGCAATGTGATTATCTGGATAAATAATTATTATTAATATTATTAAATCGAAATTTGAACTAATAGTTTCTGAGTTATTAAGCTTTAAGTAGGTAGTTAATTTTAAAATTATAGTAGTTAATTACAATTTTATTATTTATAAACATTTTACGAGTATAATTAGTACAAGACTAAATATTACATATATTTTATATAGTAACAATTATGTACATACAAAGTACATACAATTTAGAACTCAAAAACTACTTGTTTGAATTTTGACTTAGATGCGTACCTATTTAAAAAAAAAAATAATCCAATTAACAATTTACAGTTAAAAAATGTGGTTTATACCACAATGAGTACTATTTGTTAAATAGTAAAAAATCTGAGAATTAAAAAAACAAGATTTTTAAATATGCTTAAAAAATTTAAAAAATCAGAATTTGAATAATTGTATTATTAAAGGATAAAAGTGGTATGAGCATGCTCGGGTAATAACCCGGTATGTACAATTTACACACTAAGAGGATTATGTTGTAATAATTTAACTAATTTTAAATTCAATAGTAGACAATTTTAAGATTTAAAAGTTCTTTTATATTATAAACCATGTAATTTTTACTTTTAACGCTATAAGAGATATAATTTAGCATTCAATGAAACGAATAATGTTAAGGCGTACCTTGATACATTTTTTCTACAAAAGTAAACAAATTTGTATCTACTGTAAATTATGTAAAATATCCCATTTGTATATTGAATATTAATTAATGAACATTAATTGCATTACTGACTTATGATGTTTTATATGCATACAATGTTCTAAAGGCATTGTGACATAATATTCAAATTCAATATTCATATTTGTGAGAACTATTACTATAATATGACTAAACTAAAAACAAAACGTGTATTAGTATATTGAACATTTTAAACATACCGATATTACGTTATTTACTAAGTTATATCTGGAAACAAGCCAATAAAAGTTTTTATAAAAAATATATATTATGTACCTATATAGGTAGGTACAAAATATATACAACTTCTAATTGAATTCTATTCATTTGTATTAGTATCCGCCTATCTATTGTTTTATTTTAAACGAATTAACAGTTAAGTCAGTTAACATATTAATGTTTTATGTATTAGATTTTAAAGAAATTCCCAAGTAAAAAAGAAAATATTAAAATAATATTCACATTTATTTGTATTGTTTTGATTTACTCGTGTTAGTTTCACATAGACATAAGGATTATACAACTGACAATTATGTTTATTTTGTTTATAAAACAAATTAATTAAAATTACAAAATATATTTCATGAATTAATTAACATGAAATTAAAGTATATTTTGTTTTTATTACTATTAAAAGTAGAAAATAAAAAACTGTTAACTAATTAAAATAATGATTATACATTGTAATACCTTTACTCTTATCTAAAATTATATTACATTTAATTTATTCCAATTGTTAGAAGAAAAAAAATGTAAACTTTAAAATCTAATAGTTTCGAATGTGAATTTATCATTTCTCAAAAAAAAAAAAAAAACCATTATAGTTGGTACATATTTATAGATGAGTTTCAGGCGTATTAATTTTAAAACGTTTTATGACTTCAGTCGACATAAACAAACGAGTTGAACTTGGCACGGCTATTCGAGGTCAATTAATTTTCGGTAATCACACTCAAAGAAAATAATATTATGAAAACATCATTAAGGAGCGTGTAATGTCTTATGCGTGTTGTATAGGAACACCATATCAATAGACCGATCGCAGTTTTTCTTTTCATCGTCGAAGGTCAATCTTGCTTTTGCAAAATATATTATATATGTTTCAACCCTGGTGGCTCGTTATATTATTTTTTTACACCATATATACTATCTTATAGGTACGCGTACAATACATATAAATGTATATTATATACTTTAATATATATTATACACACGTCGTTCAACCTTGACAATGCAAATTCAATGCAGAATTATATTATTATTGTATGTAAGAAAAATAAGGACTATATATGCATTCAAACACAATATATTATAATAATGTGTACACAGCGTATAAATTTCAATTATTTCAAAAAACGTAGTCATCGTTATAATCTGGTTTACTTACGTCAACTTCAGGACATGGACTGAAACTGTATTGATATATTTTTATACGGGTAGGTACTACTAGCTGTACTTATATAATAATATTGAGTAGACTAGCAATAGTCCCGTTAGTGATTGTAAATGGTCACAAAATTCAATATTTTTTACACTTGTATACTGTACAACACCTAAATAAATCAAAACAATACTCAGCGTGTAGACTGTACACAATAAGGAGAATATAGCCTTTATATTATTATTGGAAGGGTTATATACGATCACAAGCATTTTATTCAGTAGGTTATTGATCAATTAAAAAATACACATGTTTAAAATAAAATCGTATACCAAATCGGTAAAGAAATTTATCAAATAAAATAATTGGTCTTCTAGTGTTATCGAACTATAAAACCTATTTAATTTATCCTTATAAATACCTACCGTATTAAATAACAATAAATTTGAGATTAATATTTAATATTTAAGTACTACATAAGCATAAATAAGTAGCTTACGGCGTATAAATTTCAATTATTTCGAAAAACGTACCTATAGTCATAGTTAGAATCTGGTTTACATACGTCAACTATACATGGACTGAGACGAAGGTGTTTATATTGATATTGTTACATAGGTAGGGTACTAGCAGTGTACTTATATAGTTATATATACACGTCGGACGAGCAAGTCCCGTTGGCGATTGTAAATGGTCACGAAATTCAATATTTTCGACTAGCGAGGTAAAAAAAAAATTTCGCATTATAGGTTATACCTATATGGAACGAGTGCACTCAGCAGCGCTCTAGATTCGGTCGCATTATCGATAATTTGTTCGGGATGATAATTAACTGGATGGCCGTCATAATAATAATATGTAGGCACCTGCAGATAATATATGATGATTATGTAACACGAATAACACTATTTAGAAATCCGTCGAATATTTTATTTAGACGGATTAAGTACCTACCGTTTTATAACGAAATATTTTACACTTAAAGACTATAATATTATAAAAAAAATAAAACAAAAGTACAAAATAGCACTCAGCGTGTAAATAATAATAGGAGAAAAAAAACTTTTATATTATTATATTGAAGGGATTATAGATAGTAAGATCGCGATTACTACCAAATTGGTAGCTATAAAAAAATTAATCAAAAGAATTTGATTGATTATTATCAAACAAAATAAATGGTCTTTTTATATATTTTTAATTATGAAACCTGTTAAATACCTTCACCAATTTATCCTTCACGTATTAAATAACAATAAATTGGCGACTTTAATCGAATTAATATATTTAAGTAGTTACTACATAAACATATAGATTCACGGAAAAAAAAATTTAAAATACTATAGGTGAACTATCGAGCGTCTCAAGTGATATAATCATTTTGATTGAGTTAAATAACATTTGCGTAGGTTTTTGGTCGCAGTCCGAATATGGTTCACATTCACTTTTTAACTAGAGCGAATATCCTATGTATAAGTCGTATTTACTTTCGCCTAAAGCTACAAATTTAATACAGTTCTCCATATATGCATGGTGTTTTTATTATTATTTAATAGAATTTTACAGTCAATAATTATTATTAACATGCATAAAATATAAATACATTATTACATGCATAGTAGGTACATTCATACGCGTGTTTTTGCGTGTTTACAAAACTGTACATTTAACGTTAAATATATTCCTTATATTATTATGCACTTATTGCACTTTTTCATAAACATACCTGTGTATAAATATATCTGAACTACAAATGTTTAAATATAATATTGTCTGTATAGTGTATACTTGAAGTATATAATGTATATCAAGGTTATATTATTAAATTATGAATTTATAACCGAAATAGATTTAATGTTAACAAAACATTTTTGTACAGTTTCTAAAGTTAATATAGTTTAAGGTAAATAATATGTGATGAGCGATGATATGAATATTATTATGTAATAATGTATTAGGTATAGTTGGTTGTAGGTACAATGTTTATTATATTATATTATATTATATTATAAGTACCTCATCAGTAATCGCTATAAAATAGTACCTACCTACATAATATTTCTTCAATATTATTAAATGAAAAATTATTAGTGAACGATTCTCTGAATCGTATTAAATTTTCAATACAGAATTGTACGTAGATAGTAGAACAATTTAGAAATTTATTCAGTTTGTTAAAAAATTTAATACTGGATATGCGTAGTTCAAATCGAGAATTTTGTGTTCTTACTCGAGTTTCCGCTGACGTATTATAATATGTAGGCATCTGCCATATAAGTATAGTACGCAGTGCATTTTTAAGCGAATTGCATTCCAAACGATATAACTTTTATAGTTTTATGTGTGTATTATATAAATTTGTATTATCATAGCACCACAAACACATCGGTCTGTTTAACACACGGTAGTGGTTTAACGGTTTAGTAATTACGGTAGAAAATAATATAAATTAAACCGTCTATAAAATAGTATATACCTATATGTAAGACATAATAATATTATATTATAATTTATATAGAGTTAAAAAAACTTATAGGTA